TATGTACGTATGCATGTATGTATGTGTGTGTATGTCTGTATGTCTGTATGTATGTATGTATGTATGTATGTATGTATGTATGTCTGTATGTCTGTATGTCTGTATGTCTGTATGTCTGTATGTCTGTATGTTTGTATGTCTGTATGTATTTATGTATGCTTGTTTGTTTGTAGGTATGTATGTATGTCTTGCACATACACATACCTACATACATACATACATACATCGTGCACATCTACATTCTGATCTACACCTTTATACCTCCATATACATATGCATCTCCATACGCACATGCATATGCATTTATGTTATATATGCATATATAGATAGATAGATAGATAGATAGATAGATAGATGGCTGGATTTCAGATATTCATGCAATATACATACATATATGTATATAGATATCTACCTATACCTGCCTACCTGAATACAGACAGACAGACAGACAGACAGACAGACAAACAAACACCCACCTACATACCTACCTACGTACGTACATACGTACACACATACACTCGCAGAGGCATGCATACATACATACATACATACATACATATACATACACACATACGTACATACAGACTTACATACCTAAGCACATACATACATGCATACATACATACATACATACATGCAGGCATGCATGCATACATATACACACACACACACGCACGCACGCACAGAGACATAGATACATACATGCCACGTTCATGCATACAGACAGAGAGACAGACAGACCGAGACACAGACAGGCCGACAGACATGCAACACTTGTCATGCAAAAGCAAATGATTATATGCGCATGTACAGTTTATTTACATACTGCTTTGCAACATACCATATTCTAAACATACACATGTCGACAGAAGTGCTCTGAACCCTAGATCCCCCCCTTAGGCCCTAAGCACGATACCCTGAATCTCCAGGTTGTCGTGTCCCGAAATGCCCCCTGCTGAAAGTTGAAACCAAAAAGCTCCACGCATCCGTAAGAAACCTACACTTGCGCTTTCATCCCAGCTCCTTGGTGTCCAGGTTGGTGACGACTAAAATCATGAGCGAGACAGCCACCACCTCACCGATCATGGAAAACAAAAGCTTCTCGGTCGGCGCACCTCGGTGTAGGAATTGGGGTTTAGGGTTTGGGGCTTAGGGCTTCGAGGTTGGGGCCTAGAGTTTACGATGGCGGCAGCAATTGCGGTGCACCTGGCTCGAAGTTGAGCCAATGTGACATCACATAGAAGGGTGCCAGCATGATGTTCACCTTGTTGCTGAACTGGCTGTTGGTGAAGGTGAAGCATAGAGTTCGTGCCATGTAGCAGGCAGGCATGAGCTCGCGGGGCATGCCGAGAGTGGCTCCGAAAACCAGCAAACTCATGATCGTCATATCTCGGTTCAAGCCTAGGTTGGGCCCGTGAAAGCCGGTGAAAATACTAGTTACTGGTAAGTGGGATGCTCTTCAACCACTATAAGGTAAAGTACGAATCATTCCATGGGCCGACCTCGGAACGTCCAGGTGTCAAGTCCACTGATGGATCTCCCATCCTCCTCATCACAGTGGATCCGATGGAGACGGTGACGTAGAATGAAATGCTGTGCACCATGGGTGGTGCAACTCCAGTTGCCTGGACTACGAAGAGAACCAACATAAAGAGATCCAGTACCAAGGACCACAAGCTGGCAATCTCCTGCAGAGAGGTGCGCCGACGCTGATGGACATGCTTTTCGGCTGCCTCACTGACGGCTTTCACACCAAACATGAACTTCGAGAGCAACCGGCCATAGAATTGGCATTCACCTACGAAGCCACTGGTCATTTTCACGGTGCGGTGGGTCCAGCTGTGCATTGCTGTAAGGCCATAGGCGCAAATGATGAGTTGCCCGGCCATCGCCGGAGATAGCCTGCTTAGGTCTTCAGAATCCCTTTAGAGAGGTGTTAGTATGTGGGATCTCCTTAAGGTCACAAGGAAAATCTAAAGCCTAAACCTTGAACCCGTAAAGAAAATCCAAAGGCCAATCCCAGCAACTGAACTCCGATCAGGAGATCCTCCATGCTGGGCGCAAGCAGCCCACAACTTGCTGCAAGCAAGGTGACACTAACTCAGTCGTGAGCTAAGGGCCCTGTCCCCTCGGAAGTCAATGGTGTGGTCACAAGCTTTCGGGCTTTGGGGCTCAGGCTCTTGGACTTTAGGGCTTTAGTTTCAGGGATACAGGTACAAGGATCTTCGTGTCCTTGTAAGCAAAAGGCTGCGGGCATGGCCAAATATACAACGCCATCCGTCTGATCCTGGATGACCATTTGTGGTCTTGTGTGGCTTATCGGGGCCCCCTTTTGTCCAGTACCAGATGACTGTGCCAGGCTGCAACATGAAGAAACCCTAAATCCTAAACTGTAAACCGCAAAGGCAAACTGAGATTCAGTGCGGAGCTACCAGGATCCCTGGAATGCCGGGGAGCCCGAAAAAAAATGACAGCGCGCTCTCCGCCCCATACTCGGGAGGGAGCGGAAGACTCAGAACAGCGACTAGAACTCTCGGAGGCCCCTAGAACCCTAAAGCCCGAAAGCCCTAGAGGCACCGAGCCCTCCAGGGTCCCGTAAATCCCGAATTGGAATAATACTTATCATAACAAGAACAACATTACAGTACTTACGATTATGACTTTATGATTACTATGATGATGATTATTTTTATGGATCCTCGTAACAAGCTGAAAGGGGCGAAACCAAATCTCAACCATCCAAAACGTACAGTACCCAGGCGACCCTAGCTGCAGAAAGCAGAGAAAGCGAGGTGGTTTGTGGCAACATTGGGTGTGAAGGCTCGGAGACCAGCATCCACTGTTTACACCGCTCGCATCCACGTTGCCCGACACGCTGTACACTATACCAACAAAGCTGGGCCGCTCTGAAACGTAGCTGCAGGAGGCGAGGATGTGTAGTTGCAGTGAGGGCCCCCCATTGGTTTGATGCTGGTCCAGTGCTCCCCAAGGCCAGCTTCCTCGATAACCCCTCGGATTGCAAGCACACCCGCCTCAGGAGGGTCCCAGTGCCGGTGGTAGATATTGAAGCCCATGTAAGTCTGCACTTTGAGCCGCTCCATGCACTGGTACTCCACCAGCCAGGTGTAGCCTGTGTGTGCCCCAGCCTCGGCAAAGCCCAAGACCACGTTGGGAAAAACAACCCTGCGGATGATGGGCCGCTGAAAGACGAGGTTGAAACGAGCGTTCTGGCCCGGAATAAAGAAGTTGTCCTCCGTCACGTTGTACCAGGACATGTACTTCCCAGCACCACAGTAGAGCTGATCGCTGTCCTGGAGGCCCTTATCATTCACACGCCTGTCTTTCAGAAAGCAAGTGCAGGGAGCCTCCACCACGTCCTTTACGAAGATCTCAAAGAACCTCCCCTGAGCCTTGGAAACGTTGTAGGTTCTTGCCACCTCAGCCTTCTGCACTTGCTCTATGGGCGGGCAGCCTCCGAAACCGGCTCCTGCAACGACCCAAACGGTCAGAAACAGGGCCAGGGTACGAAGGCGAAGTGGGCAAAGCATAATTGCTAAGCTTATGACCATACGAATCACTGTTGTAGCACCATGCTTGTCCCTTGGAATTCTGACCTGCGTTGGGCTCCGAGTGTTTCTTACAATTGGCACTTCCAAATCGTGCAGTAAGGCCAATATTATCATATATATATATAAATACATACATATATATATCATATATATCATATATATATATGATATATATATATATATGATATATATATTACATACATAAACATGCATGTGTATATATATATATGCATACATACATACATACTTACATACATTTTGATTTATTTGCCTATGTGTGCAAGACTACTCATTGCAAACTCTGAGTGCCTCCTGTTCCCGACAGACAGGCCACATGCCTTGGTGCTTGCATGAGCCCAAACGGCCCTGGAGTTCCCGCGTGGTTTGGGGTTTGGGGTTCTGCGGTTTAGGGTTTATAAGGCTGCTTATCGCTTTGGGGCTGGCTTGACCGCTACTCCAATGTCTTCGCGATTCCCTGACACTGTCAAGCCCTAAAAACATGAAAGCATTCGTGAAAGAATAATGGAAAAGCCTACCATGTAGCACTGGTAATCACTGGACTAGAAAAAACTAGCCGAAACCATCGGGCAATGACAGCTTCAAACTGGCTTCTTGACATCGCAGGCATGCAGATAAGTGCTAAACGCTCTGGGTACACGACGAAATTGAGTTTTTGTAGGATTGCATAGAAAGGAACCTAGCAAGCAAAGCTGCTCCAATCCTGTTTGGCGCACCGAAGCCCCCGTTCCGGCACCAGAACAGACCCGAAAATCCAGCTCAAAACATTGGACCAAGAGCTCCCATGAACAAGCACAATATCTCAGCTTGGCATGAGACAACAGCAAGGAAGCATGGCTTTTGGCGATCCGCTCCCGAACTGCACGACCCTGCAGCTAGCGCAGGATCTCGTGCCTACCTGCTGCCTGCACTCTCCTACTGGGGGCCGGCAACACAGTCTTCTGGCAAGGTTGAAAACTCCACGTGAGGCCCCAGGAATCTACTGGGGTGTGGCTGTGGTGTCTCACGGTGTCTTGAAGCAGGTTGTCAAGATGGAAGATGGCCTGCACCGCGGCGATCTTGCAGAAGGCTTTATAGCTTGCTGTGCTTCTGGCAGCTGTGCGCCGCTTAAGCCGAGACAACGACGGCAACAGAATTTCAACGTGTCTGGACTATCTAGTGCTGCCATAACTCCGCATCTTGTGCCTCACTGACACATATCTTCAAGTCCACTGTGCAACGGCAGGACCATGTGCTGAAATGGGCCAAGCCTTGCAGAGACGTGACTGCAGCTCGGGCACTTGAATCTGACCTCTGACCCGCCAATGCGTCCTGCGAAAGATGCACCACGAAGAAGTCATCGCGAGAACCACTGGTCCCCACGAACCTCCGCTGGTTTGCAGAACCCGTCAGCAGGTGTGATGCATTTCAACATCGTGCTGAAAGCTGGACCAAGCTTTCGAGTGGTCGTCGTAGATCCGGCTCTCTCGTGACATTCACTCTCAGGTGATCAGATGTTATGAAGCACATCTCTGCACACATGCCTGTCTGTGGCAAAGACTGGAAGCCGACTGTTGAAGCGCTTCCTGCATGGCGTGGCCCTGGCAATCCGAGTGCCTCACAGCCTGATGTCTGCAGCGTGGAAAGATCTTAAAAACCGTCCCAGTTCCCAATGACGCAAGTACGACAACCTCACCGGCCTTGTGACGACGCTCGTCCTCAAAGGTATCGGAACACCTTTGCGTTGGACACTCGCGGGCGAACTTGTATTCCAGAAGCTTGGTGTGCCCAAAAACTGCTTTCGATTGGCGACAAATACAGCCAACCATCTTCTGAGGTTGCCGACGACGCTGTCAATCAGATGTAGTTTGCCTAGACTGGAGCTCCAAAGCCATCACTTTGGACCGTGGATGCAAGAACTGACGCTTGCAGGGGCTAAGGCGAGAAAGTGAGTCTTGGACGCAGACTGGGCAGACTGACAGCTCCCGAAGATGGTGACTGCAAGCACACACTTCGCTCGGAATCCCTCCAAGACAGGTTCGGGCCGACCGGACTCGCACAGGCGAAAGACCGACAAACCCGCTACAGGGGGTGTCTGCTTTGGGAAACTGCCAAAGCCCTGCGGGCACTAACGGCATCTTTGCATCCAGCAAGCTGGTGAGCTCGCACGAGGGTCGGTTGTGCTCCAAAATCCGGTTGAAATCACTGCACCTTCATCAAACCTTTTGGGGTGGTCGTTACAAGCCAAGCCCTGTGCCGTGCAGGCACCCACACACCTCTGCAGTCTGCACATGTGATTGTTTGTGCCATAGACTGGACGGTGACAGTTGAAGCACTTTCTGATACGCTTGCGGCTCTGGCTGCAGAACATCATCACTAACCTCACCACCAACTTCCACTGCTTCCACTGGACCGGCGGACTGGAAAGAACCTCTAAGCCCATTCTAGGCTTAGCACTGCGCCTGCTTGTGCATTGTTGCCTGACAAAGCAGTCAGCATTGGCTGTTGGCAACAGCATGCACAGCCTTTGGGCACGTCCCCCGGCAACCGGGCAACAACGATCACCGCACGGCTTCTCGCTTGATATCCCACACTCCGAGAATCTCTGAATCCAACAAGCTAGTCCGCCGCGAGTTCGCACAAGGGTCGGCTGTGCTCCAAAATCCGGTTGAAATCACTGCACCTTCATCAAACCTTTTGGGGTGGTCGTTACAAGCCAAGCCCTGTGCCGTGCATGCACCCACACATCTCTGCAGTCTGCACATGTGATTGTTTGTGCCATAGACCGGACGGTGACAGTTGAAGCATTTTCTGATACGCTTGCGGCTCTGGCTGCAGAACAGCATCACTAACCTCACCACCAACTTCCACTGCTTCCACTGGACCAGCGGACTGGAAAGAACCTCTAAGCCCATTCTAGGCTTAGCACTGCGCCTGCTTGTGCATTGTTGCCTGACAAAGCAGTCAGCATTGGCTGTTGGCAACAGCATGCACAGCCTTTGGGCACGTCCCCCGGCAACCGGGCAACAACGATCACCGCACGGCTTCTCGCTTGATATTCCACACTCCGAGAATCTCTGAATCCAACAAGCTAGTCCGCCGCGAGTTCGCACAAGGGTCGGTTGTGCTCCAAAATCCGGTTGAAATCACTGCACCTTCATCAAACCTTTTGGGGTGGTCGTTACAAGCCAAGCCCTGTGCCGTGCATGCATCCACACATCTCTGCAGTCTGCACATGTGATTGTTTGTGCCATAGACTGGACGGTGACAGTTGAAGCACTTTCTGATGCGCTTGCGGCTCTGGCTGCAGAACATCATCACTAACCTCACCACCAACTTCCACTGCTTCCACTGGACCGGCGGACTAGAAAGAACCTCTAAGCCCATTCTAGGCTTAGCACTGCTCCTGCTTGTGCGTTGTCACCCAACAAAGCAGTCAGCATTGGCTGTTGGCAACAGCATGCACAGCCTTTGGGCACGTCCCCCGGCCACCGGGCAACAACGATCACCGCATGGCATGATATCCCACACTCCGAGTGCCCCACAGCCCACAACTAGCGACACAACCAGGAGGCTTGCGACAGGGCGTATCTGCTTTGAAGCACATGTGCAAAAGTCCTGCGGGGGGCATTGAGACAATTTAGAAGTCCAACTCGTCAAGACATGTATGGCGTGGCAGAAACTGCATTTCGACGACTTAGAAGCGAAATCTCAACGGCTTCAACGTCATGCACCAGCGGGGCCGCTTGGGAACCGCTGCCGGTGTGCATACAAAGAGCTGGGCTGAGAGAAGCACCATTGCCACGGGTGGCTCTGCCCTCGTCCCTTCGAGGGCTCTCAAAGAGGCGCAAGGAAGTGAAAGCTTCTCAGCTTAGGGATGCTCGTGTGGCTCATTCTGGAAGATCTCTTGCTGGGCCGGAGGAGCAGGATGTTGTCCTGGCAAGAAGTCGCTTACCGGCCCATTTTGAAAGGAGCCTCTCGGTAAACACAACTCCACCGTCTCACTTAGCAGAGCCTTTGGAGCCGTCAAAACTCCGGGTCAGCCTTCACTGCATTGGCTCACTCTATATCAAGCCCCAACGTCGTCATGTCATGGACACCTTAGACTTAGGCGGAAGGGCAGGAATCGCCCGGATTGACCCAGGACAATAACACTGCAGCTACTCGCACCGCAGCATTAGCAGTGCCGGAAGAAGTGAAGCGAAAAAGCAGGCAGTCCTCGTTGGAGGAGTGGCCCAAGCTTCAGGGGCCGTCTCCTCACCTCAACCTCGGGATCCTTCAGAACCAAACCTCCTAAAAGCCCGTCAAAAAGTCCTGGGGAGCTTCTGGGCTCTATGCTGGGCCGTCTTCGGCTACGAAGAATGGCTTCAAAGGCACCCAGACACGAGAGTGGCCCTTAGGTTCCGGAGCTGCCAGAAGCAGTTTGGGCTTTGAGGCTTTTGGGGCTTTTGCTGCGTTCAGGGTCTTCGGGGAGTTTAGGGTTTAGGGTTCCGGGCGGGTTAGAGATGAACCTCCAGAAGGCAGAATGGCAAGAGCAGCTGATGCCGCAAGGCCTGCTGGGTCTGCCGGCTCAGAGCCTGCACGGATGGTTCTCTGAAGGGGGGTCCCGCAATCCCAAAGTTAGATAGGGTCCCTTGCAGGGTCCTGCAGGTTAAACGGAATAGAGAAAGGACCCTGATTCAGAGAACGCAGTTGCTAAGATGCTCGGGCTGCCACGCGGGAGCTGACTTTAGCCCAAACTCGTGGACTTTGGAAAGAGCCGAGACAGAGAGACTGGCTGAGCTTGAACTTCGATTGCAATGCTGTAGGGCCCTAAAGTCCTTAACCCTAAACCTCTTAACCCCTAACACCCTATAGACCCCAAACCCAAAGCTCCTCACCCTAAACTCCTTAAACCTTAAACCGGGGGCAGCTCGCGGACAAGCTGCTTCTCCACAGCTACGTGGCCTCGACAGGGTCTAGGGTTTATAGGGCTTAGGCAGCCCATGTAGACACCGCAAGAGAATGGAACTCTGGCGCTTTCATCCGAATCCGAGGACGCAAGCCTCCTATTGGAGGCCCCAACTCACCCGTAGCAAAGCAAGGGAAAGCAGGCACGGAGGGAGAAAGAACTCTCCCAGCAATGCGAAGGCATTAGTTTCAGGACTGCCTGCTTGGGTCCAGGTCCTGTGGCTACTGCTTCGATAGCGCCCACAAACCGGCTAGCCTCGCCGGCTAGGCTCGCGCTGACACGAAAGTCGGCAGCTGTAGGAAAATGTGTTCTGGATTCATGCGCAGCTCCAGAATCCTGCATTTTGAAAGCCCACGCGATCCGGACCTCGAGGTTCCAGATTCTTGGTGCGTAGTGCCCTTCAGAGTCAAAGCACCGACCCCCCTTGCAAGGCAAGCCTGTGTTTGGGATTTAGAGCGCATGGCCGTCCTCCTATATGGCAGAAGAAGACATTCGCAGCGCGCTGTTGAACACAACTTGTTCCCTCTCCGGCACAGCGCCGCTTGCTTGCCTTTGCAGGTCAAAGCAAAGGTCATATGTTCGACCAATGGG